TTACAAGTTTGTGAAGTCATGATCTTGTTCTCATTTTATGCAGCATGAGACTACATTCTTCATGAGTGGTTCCTGTAAGCTGACTCCTGGTTTAATGTTTTCATTTTTTAATAGACGCACAAATCCTTTTGGTGAAACGGGAGGCTCAAAATCTGAAACTGAAGGTAATTAAAAAAAAAAAAAAACAAAAAAAACTTCAATGCAAAATGAATTGGAGAATTTACAAACTGATTCAGTATGTTCACCTGCACCTTTTCTCCTTGTTTACCACCAGTTTTAGAGTGTTAGTTACGTTACATTAGCAGTGTATTGGACAAGTTCAGTTAAATCAGACTCCTGTCTGAAAGTCCTGGTTCATGTTCTCTGCTATATGACATAAAATTATTTTATTGCATTTTTGGAATTCTTGAAATGAAAGATATGTATCTTGCTGTGCAGTAATTGTAGCTGTAATTCATGAGCACAGTCTCTTTTCAGTTTATTGGAAGTCTGGTGTTTTCCTGACTGAGTACAGCTTTGGTCTTGGAAGTAGTTTTGAACAGAAGCCCCCACGTGGAGTTCACTTACTCAGTACTTTTGTTTCTCTTAGATTCAATTCTCCATCAGTTGTTCATTGTAAGGTTTCTTGGCTCTATGGAGGTGAAGTCTGATGAAAGTCCAGATGTTGTTTATGAAACAATGCGTCAAATCCTAGCAGCTCGGGCCATCCATAACATTTTCAGGATGACAGAATCCCATTTATTAGTCACTTGTGACTGCTTAAAGTAAGTTTCCTTCCTGACTTGTACTGATGTTTATTTACAGACGGAACATTTTTCACTTTGGTAAAATTTACTTTCTGGTTTGTTTTTAAAACCAAATTTTTAGGTTAATTGATCCACAGACACAAGTTACAAGACTACGAGTAAGTAACTTTACATTTTAAGATAAATACCCAGCAAAGTAATTCTTTTACTTTTTATGCAATAGTATTAAATGTTAGCAGAAATCACTGACAGCATGAGATTTCCTGACAGATCTCCACAGAAACTGGGAGGCTGATGCAAACATTGGCTTTAAGGGGAGTGAACTCAGCAGGAGAAAAAAGCTTTTTCAAACATTTTTTCCCCCGATTTGATAGGGTAGAATCTTAGGAAAATAAGAGTATTTTATTTTAACAGCCTGGCTGATACAATTGGTAGAGAAACAGAATTAAGATTGGAATGAATTAAGTCCAAAACATTTTTGTTGCTTTTTTGTTTGTTTGTTTGTTTGCTTTTGTTTTGGGTTTTTGCTTTTTCTGTAATCAACTGTACAGTGTTGCAGGGTGCTGGTTTGTTCTTTACAGTAAATGCACATGAAAAAATAGGTGGGATTTTCATGCGGAACCAAACATGGCTGACTTAATTCTTCATTAATAGCAGTCTTTATTTTCTGTATTTCAAACCTATGCCTCCCCTCTCTATGTCTCTGCATGGTTTATGGTAATTCAGTTTATTTGGGTCTTATAAAGGTGCTCAATTTGTCAGGGACCCTAAGTTGTTATCATTTCTATCAAAGGAAATGCTAAGCATATGAAATATTTTTCATATAACAGTGTATAGTTTTCCTTTTTTTTTTTTTTCCTTCTTTGTGGCATTAAGTTCAGAACTGCCCCAAAGCTGTGAGCTTTTACAGGCGAGATAAAGAACTGGGTGCAAGTGGAGTGCTGTACGTGTGTTCCTCCCATGCTGTCAGTGTGTAACAACTGCAGTGGGGGCCTTCAGAATTTGAAAGCTTACTTCTGTGCTAAGACTCATTTGAAATTTCTGCTTCAACTTCTTTTAGGAATTGAGAATACAAAGCACGTTTCTTGAAATAATACAGAAATGTAATCTTTTTTTTCTTGCTTACATGATTCAGGAGAGCTGAACTTCTTGCAGAAAATGTTATAGAAAAGAGCCTTGAGCTGGCAGCAAATGCTGAGAGCTTTGCAGCTGCTCACAAATGCAGCTTGTATAGATGCCTCTTTTAAAAGAAGATTTTGTAAGAAGTGTTCACATTTAGAAAGACGACTGAATGTCATTGCAAATGTAATCCCCTCTTTTATCTGCAGTAATTCCCTTCCAACCCACTGTTTGGCGTTTGGCAATTACATGTTCAGTCAGGTTGTAACTTTCTCAGGTTGTGTGTTTTTGATATTGAAGTAACGTGCAGTGCAGTGAAAATCTGTGCAGAATGTCTGAAACCACTTTTAATGTCTCTGTATTTGATCCTTTCTGGCAGTTTCCTTTGCCCAATGTAGTCTTGTATGCAACACACCAGGAGAATAAGCGCCTCTTTGGATTTGTGCTTAGAACTTCAGGAGGGAGAGCTGACAGTCGACAAACTTCCATCTGCTATATCTTTGAATCAAATAATGAAGGGGAAAAGGTATTGGTGATGGTTATATTCGTATCCATTTTCATTTTCTGATTCCAGTCATTTTCTGACATGGATTCTAAGGTGTTAGTTCCATTCCAGCTCTCTATGTGGTTTCTGTGAGAGAGTTTATGTACTGAAAACAAGTTAACCCAGTAGTTGAAGTAACTGTAACATGCTTTATTTTTATTATGTATGATAACATGCTTTAGCATGCTATCATACCTCATTTGGGAACATGGCATGCTTTTAAAGGCGTTTTTGTTAGATTCTTACAGATGATTTCAAATCTGATTTGTATTTAGATTTGTGACTCCGTTGGACTGGCGAAACAGATTGCTTTCCATGCAGAACTGGTAAGAATCTCCTTAGGGGACATTATCCTTGTGAATGGAAGGGAGAAGGCATATTTAGTGTGTGTAATAGAATATAGTCTGCAAGATGCTTATAGACGCAGGAATGCTGTTGTAGAGAACTCAAAAGGATTTGCTTTATAGAATTTGAGCCCAAGATAAAAAGACCAATCACCAAAGTCTGCCTTGGAACAATACTCAAGATTGGAATCTGCTTTTTACCTTTAACAAACATACCTGTCCATTAAAAGAAGCATAATCAGGTGTCCTAGCAGGTTTGAGTGAACTCAGATAAGCCCACAGCATATCAAGCCCCCTGGGCAGTTGTTTCTTTTATTGTCATTTTTGCTCTTCAGGATCGAAAAGCATCGGAAAAGCAAAAAGAAATGGAGAGGGTCAAAGAGAAACAACAAAAAGAACTGACTAAACAAAAACAAATTGAAAAGGTACACTTTCCTACTTTTTCTTACTTTTCATGCTATTTTTGTTGTGTTTTTTTCCTGTTTAGTTTTGTAGCTCTGTAGTTCCAGTTGCAATATCACATTCTTTAGCACAGATGGAGTATTGTGGAAATTGCTGAAGTATTTTCTGCGCAGATCCTGTATAATTTTGTATTACAGTTCTTCAGAAGAGTTTTTCTGAGGAGATGAACAACCAGACATCCTCATAGGCATATTTGAGAGCAGTGCTTGAAGGAACACTTATCACAAGCTGCCCTATATATGGCTGCAAGTAAACATCTGCATGCACTGAGACAGTTCAACTGGAGATGAAGATTCAGCTAGAGATGAGGCAGGGGCTGCAGGCAGCAGGCTGTAGGCCAGGCTGTTAGTTCTGACCTGCTGTGTTGTATGGATTACCGGTACAGAGACGTTAAACGTGACTTCCTACTGATGTCACTTTTGAAACCCAAATGTCCAAATCTTAGTAATAGTGTTTTGTTTCTACCTTAGGGAGCTTTAACGTGAATATGATTTTTCTAATTTCCTTCTTTCCTCCCTCCTTTCTCTAATTAGGACTTAGAGGAGCAAAGCCGACTGATAGCTGCTTCCAACAGATCAAACCCTAGCAGTGGAGAAGGACAGTTTGTAGTCCTTAGCAGCAGCCAGTCAGAAGACAGCGATTTAGGAGAGGATGGAAAGAAGAAAAGGGAATCTGAAACCTAAGGTTGCCTAGTAAATTAAAATTGGAATCATGGATATAAGTTTTACAAGAAGTGAAATACAGGTGGAGGGTCTGTTGTATTATATAAAAGACTTCACAATGTCTAGACCCTAATATGCCTTGCTGTTTCTTTCTCAATTAAGTGATTTCCACTTTCATGTCAGTTCCTCTTTTGTATGCCAGATAGACATGGTAGCATCACCATTCTTTTTTTCAAAAATTATGTTTTCTCAAAGAATTCTCTGCAGGAAGGGAAAAAGATGGATTTTTCTTTTTTCCGTGTACTCATCTGTGCAATTGACTGCTTTGGAAATGAAACTTAAGCTCTCACTGAACTTGAGCAGTACTGAAATTTGTTCTTTACACTGCAGTTTGCAGAACACCTTGCTGGAAACAAAAGTGGGGGTCCAGATAAGACAGTACTAAGCTTTATAGAACTTGTTGCACATAACTGTTCTTACAGTTAAAGAAAAATCCTTATTAACATCAATGGGATGTGCAATAGTTGTAGAAAGAAGGATCATAGTGTTTGTTTCATATTGCACTGTATGGTACTGTCTTTTTTTTTGTGATTTAAAGGCTTCTTTGAACAGGAGATTAAAAGAAAATACTTGTCAGACATAGGTAAGAGCTGAAGAGATGCAATTGCACTTTGCTGCATGAGGAGTGCATTAAAAATTCCTTATCAAATAGTAAATATATAATGTCTAAGTGCCATGTTCCTGGTTTTTCCCCAGTGTGTAAAGAAAAGCAGTAAGCTGCCGAGTTCATTTTCAGTAAAAACATGCACAGAGTTGCAGAAACATTGAATTCCACCACTTGAAAAAATCTGAATCCATAAAGGCCTTGCTACCAGTAACTGCATTTGCTGAAAATGAGTTAAAGCTTTTTTAGTCTTTCTATGGAACTGTCTTTTGCAAAGAGAAGTAAAAGACGATGCTAGTCTACATCCTGAAGTTGGTCTCTTAACGCATTTTTCAAAGCAGTCTCTGTTTATACCTCATAAGCCTGAACTCCATGGTCCATACCCTGTGTAATATTTATTTTGTATAATACTAAATGTGCATTCATCTTTTGATCCAGAAGAGAAAACGTGTTTGAAGTAAGAAGAAATATTTATTTTTGCACTAATTACTATAAATACTAAACTCCAATGGAACAGATGTCTCTCTAATAGTGGCCTGAGCATAACAGAAAATGTAGAAAGAGAAGAATATATTCTAAGATGTTTTATAATGGTTAAGAGTGTTTTACAGTTCATTGCAGAGCATTTTTAGTCTTTGGCTTTCAGCCCAGCCCTTCATAGCTAGAATTGCATGGTGCTGAGTAAGTGAGGAATTTCAGGACCTCTGTGCTAGATGGCTGTGCAAAAAAGGAACACCGTCCTTAATTGCTCAGAAGTTGTTTTGCATAGGCTGACAAAGGCAATCTCTTGCTTTTTATGCTGGAGATAGACAAGCATTTCTATGCAGCAACCAACTGCATCTGCCTCCTGTCACAGCAAAGAAAAGGGAGCATTGCTCTCATGGTGCCACTGGCACCACAGCGTACAGCAGGGACTGAGCAGCTGTGGAAGCGCTCACAGTATTTTAAAGAGGAGGTGGAGTGGGAGACTGAGCAAGAGAGAGGCTCCAGGGTCTCTTCCTTCTGTTTCAGCACGTTCGTCCTCAGAGTAGCCAGTAGCTCGCAGAAGTACCTGCTTTAGCTGTTACCCAGTCAGACCTTGTGGCATCAGCCCGCGGCCAGATGTTGCCTTCATAGTGTCTCATGGACCGTGCACATCTAAGGCTTTCAAAACAAACAACAACAAACAAAAACTTAAGTGGCATTTACTTCCTATCTAGTCTTGCATTCTCATCTTGAAGAGGCTACTTCTATTTTCAACAAAAACATGCAGAAAGGCAGCAAATGCTTTTTTTTTTTCTTTTCTTTTCCTGCCTGTATCTATTTACATGGCAGCCGGTTTATCTCTACAAGTTGCTTCAGTTTGTCTTTCTCTTGGATTTTTTTTTTTTTTGGTATGTAATGATTTCTATTTTCTATGAAATAACATGCCAGCACAGCTCAAATTAATAAAGTCATTAAGGTTGAGAAGATGACTAATATCATCTAGTCCAACCTTTAACCACCAAATTTACTGTGTCTTCCTTGATTACGTGCTAAAGGTAAATTAATTCAGCAACACCACAGAGTCTGCTCCACGAATCTGGTCACCAAGCTGTCAGAGTGAGATGAGCTGCGGTGGCCACAGCACCAGGAGGAAGACAGCTAACAGATCAGCAACCTCATCAAAAGGTACTGCTGACAGGGTGCCTTACTGGAGAGAGGGCAGAGAGCTGAGTTATCTTTTCTTGAACCCACCCATTATGTTTTGGACATAAATATACAACTATGAGGAGGCAATCAAGAGAAAAATCTGGTGCACTACATTGCTGTTATAAAATTTTTCAGATTAAATGATATCTGATGGGAATTACTCCAGTTTTAGTTCATGTTTTACTATCTATACCATTAAACGTAGTTTTCTTAATCAGACAGCATAGGATCGAGTTGCCTTTCACTTGCAGTGAATGATTCTTTTCTCCTCACCCTCTGAAAAGAAGGGAAATAAATGAGGAGAGCAGCACTTCAAAAAAAGTGACATGCATGAATGAAATGAGGTGGCTTTTTTTTGCTGTTTAGGAGAGTTTTGCTGGTGTAAAATGAGCAAAAAGACAGAGTTAAAAGCTTCTGGAAAAGTGATGAAAGCTGCAGGAGCAAAGGGCAAGTTGTAGGAGATCAGGATGCTAAAATGGAACATTACAATGAATTAGCAGTGGGATGAGAATTACTCAGTGCCACTTAAAGGGAGGAGCACCTGGGTCCGTGGATAGAACTACCACAAGGCAAAGAATAGCTGCTGAGCTTTTATCCATGTCCTCCTCCCCTCAGAAAATCTTTCTGATACCCTTTGAACTATGAATTGCAGAACTACTTCATCAGCAAACATGTTTCTTAATTAAAAAAATTAGAGTACTTAATATTTACTTTGAGAGTACAACCTGTAATATGAACACCTTGTGTTCTCCTGGGAATGACTGTGGTAAGGTTTCACAGCCTGTTATTTCAATAAATTACTGGCTGGTTTCCTTTCTCGTAATTTATTTTGCCTGTTTCATATTTCCTGTTGCCTTTACTTAAGGACTGGTCTTCTGAGCACTTCCAGCTGAAGCTGTAATTTGCTTCATGTGAACACAGTATTATTTCAGAAACTACTTGTGTAATGGGATGTTAAGTTTATTACACGATGTAGGCCATGCACCTCTTGCTCGCAGTTGTTCTGCTCTACATACGTTCTGTATGAATGTAGCAGTGTGAATATCAAAATACATAAGAAGTGTGGGCAAACTACAGGCATGCATTTCATTGCATTGTAACTAATACCAAGTACTTAATTATGGCCATGAATAGATTTCTAGAAGTCCAAACCAGAGGACGAGCTGATAGTCATATGCAGCTTAGTCACACAGACCTGGGAACGTGTGTGTTGTGTGAGCAAGTGTGGATTTGATAGTCTGTTATTTCTGTAATATTTTTAAGTTGGAAATTATATCGAGACAGCTTACCAACTAACAGGCAAGTAATATTTAAGAGCTCAGAGACATGCAGACAAATGACATCTTTGTATGGATGCAAAACCACAGCTGACAAACCTGATGCAGCTGAGCCTTTTTATAAAGATATAATTTATTTCCACTGCAGAAAAATATTGGCTGGTCATATGTTCAAGGTGAAGTCTGATGAATTAAAGAAGGTGCACAGAATTTAGGAGAAGCCAGTGCAGAAAGCTGTGTTGTTGCACAGTCCCTTATTATCTCCAGAGCTGACACACTCAAAGAAAGAAATCCTGCCTCTGCTCAGTGAGTTCAGTTGAGATATTTAGTCCAACAGCAAGAACTGGTATCTTACTTTCTCTCCTTTGCTCTGTTTTACAGAATTTCTTGCAAGTCTATCAATCTCCAAGGTTTTTCTTTCTACCCAAGCAGTAAGCTGTGTTTTTGTCATGCCGTAGTGGTATCTAAGTTATCATGACAAGAATAAGTTGGTGTGTGTCATTGTGATTGCACTTGTATTCCTAATGAAGTTTATATTGCAAGCCAAGGATTTTGTACAATCTTTCAGGTCACTTTTATAATGCAGTGGAGTGGTCAAATTCTTATGATGATGTTCTGGATTGGTCCTGTTCTAGTGAAGTGTAAGTGATTTTTGCAATGTTTGAGACTTACACGTTTGTCCCTGAATAGCTGTATTACAGACCTCCAGTAGCATCCCTACTTAATTCAGCTTTGATTGTTGTGTCTTAATCTTGGAAGCACCAATAGTACGTATTATGCCAAAACTTCAGTCAGCATTTTGTAGGTTACGTAAAAGCTTAAGCATAGTAACTTTCTGAGTGGAATTTGTCCTGATACAAGAACTGCTTCTTCCCTAGTAGTGACATTCTGGGTGTGCCGTTACTGATGACAGGATGCATTCCTTTCCATTAAACCAAGCCCTAACATGCAGCTGAATCTCTCTCTTGGAAAGTGCATCTCAATTCTCTTAACTTTAATCATATCAGCCAGCTCTCCTCAGAGGAAGTCTCTCTACTTGGGAATGCTGGTAATTTCTGCAACAATCAAAGACTGAACGTTAGAAGAAAAAACCCTTTCTATCTCTGCTGGCTGTTTTAGTGCACATGTTGCTCTGTTAGATGACAACGTGTAGCACGTTGTACGGAGCTGCAGTTATGGTCACCATCAGAATTCATTTGTACAGAAGCTATACCAGCACAACTATTAATGGGAGTACCTCCACCTGTTTTCACTGGCTTCATTAGTTTTCTTAATTACGTGACAGACACCATGTGAAAAGCAATGGGTCATACTACATTACGGTTAAATTTGTATTTTATAAGATTTGTAGATTTTTCTGGAGAAAAGCAGACTTTTGAACTATGTAACTCTAAGTGAATACAGATGCATGTATAACTAGAAAATCTATGCTTAACTGATAATGAAGGAATAAATACTATTAATACCAAATGTATTCTGTTGATTTTTTGTTTTGTTTTTTTTTTTTTTTAAGACAGACTAGCATAGGTAGCATTTTTTGAAGGATCAGGCATGTGCACAGTGAGACAAGCGTGACTGCTTTCAGGTAAATGCTCCGTAAGCTGTAGCTGCACCTACTGGAGGTGAAGTTGCAGAACTGCTCTCTCCAGAACTTGGCTTTCTTTTAGGTGCTGTCCAAAGACACACTCATCATCAACTATACAGTGAATGAGACGTATTAGTGCTTGGTAATGAGATACAGAATTAACATTTCAGAAACGCTGTCATCCCGTTTACTTGAAGGCCCTGAATGTAACACTGCAATTGAAAGTAGGGTTACGTGTTATGCCAGGCTTTCTCCTCACACACAGACGCAAGGCTCAGAGCCGTACCAGTGATTGTAATGGTTCTTTACGTCTTCACTCAAAGCATTTTAAGTAGTATGGCCATAGCCATTCACATAGCCTTCACTTTATAGTGTATATGTAGCATGGGATCACCACTATTTATATTTCGGGCTTCTAGCCATTTATTTCAGGGAATGACTGGGAGAACACTGACACTCAGTATATATCTATCTATCTCAGTATACGTGAGATAAAATCCCAAAGGAGAAAATACTTTTGTCTTACCCACCTCGACGTTCCCTTCAAAATACAGAATAATTATGTGCAGTTGACACTGGAGGTTCCCAAGAAACTTTCCGGTCCATAGAGGTCATATTCCTTGTACAGAATGTAGTCCTTCAAGCAATTTGGCAGTGGGAGGAAGGTCATGAAGACAGGACAACGCAGACGCAGCCGGCCCATGCATTCCCGTATCTTCAGGCGACAAAGATGCTTCAGGGAGCGAGGATTTGCTGGGAACCAGAGATTGACATTAATGAGTGCCTTGATCATTTGGTGCAACTGCTCACTGCCCTACACCTATCCAAAACCACTCCACATTTTACTGCCTGTCCTTGGGTGCCTGTCCCTGTCAGATCTGGGCCCTGGACCTCAGCCCATGCCTTTATCAGCTATCAATCAGCTGACAATCGGCTAGCTCAACAAATTATGCTTATTTTACAGATGTAAGTAGTAAAGTTTGGGGAAAGTAACCCCAAATAACTGGTGCCAGCTCTTTGCCAGCCTCAAGAAGCTACTAAAAATCAGAATTTTCATGTCCTTGTTTTTAATCTGTGTTCTAATAAAAAGGACACAGAATTAAGCTAGGCTAAAATTCAAATCTCTCACTTCTAGATAGTTTATTAGAGTTGTCCATCAACTTGAGGTGAGGGAAAAGCTTTTCTCCTACTGAAGAGGATTTTATTGCCTACGTTACACTGGAAATTCTCAGCTGCTCCACATAACCTGTGCTGTTACAGTCTGTCACAGCTATCAGACAGAGTTATCTGACGTTAAACACTACATAGACTGATTTTCTTTTCAGAAATACCTTCTCCTCAAAACATAACTTTTGGCTTAACCAACCCTCAGGGGACAAAAACAAATCTAAAATAGCACCAACAAAAAGGTCCCAATCCCAGAGCAGTTAGTCTGCTGTTTCAAATCTATCAGATACTTACTTAAAATTGAATTGATGTCTGGCCAGAGCTCCTGTTCTTTGAGAGCTGCTTCCAGCTTCCAGCAGATGTTAACATGATCAACATAATCTAACATTACTCGCACTACTTTCCCACAAAGATGCTTCAGCCATGACAAGGTTATCACTTCACAGAACTGATGGAAACAAAACATTTTAATTGGAAAACATCCAATACTTCTGTAGATTACTTCCTTCTCTGCAGGACAAGAGCAATTTTATAACTGCAGAACAGCAGGAAGCAGTGCCTGTTAGAGGAGCTCTAGGGCTGTCACAGCTTGTATCGAGCCTGCAGTGCGATCTGAAAATCTGAGAGATGTTATTTTGTACTAGGCTAGAACCAAAAATGAGCTTTAACAGCTGTATATCTGGTACCTAATGCTTAAAAAGACATGCTATCATTCCTGACGAGGAATTCTTAAACCTCAATAGGAGATTTAAACTTCCTGGACATTGCTGGGAGAGATCTGTGTCCCAGCCTGCCAAACGGGACCCACCAGCCCAGTGCACCACATGCCTGTGTCAGTGGAATTGAGTGCGTCCTCAGCAAGTTTGCTGATGACACCAAGCTGAGTGGTGCAGCTAACAACAAAAGGGAAGGACACCATCCAGAGAGACCTGGACACACTTGAAAAGCAGGCACCCAATTTAATGAGGTTTAATGAAGCCAAGTGCAAGGTTGAGGCAATCTCAGGCATGAGAATATACTGGGAGAACTCATAGAGAGCAGCCCTGCAAATGTCTTGGGGGTCCTGGTGGATGAAAAGCTGGACATGAGCCAGCAGTGAGCTCCTGCAGCCTGGAAAGCCAACAGTATCCTGGGTGGCACCAACAAAGGGATGGCAGCAGGGAGAGGGAGGTGATTGTCCCCCTCTGCTCTGCCCTTGTGAGGCCCCATCTGGAGTACTGCACCCAGGCCTGGGGCACCCAGCACAGGAAGGACGTGCAGCTGGTGGAGCAGGTCCAGAGGAGGGTCACTAAGATGATCAGAGGGCTGGAGCACCTCTCCTTTTGGGGAGGGGCTGAGGGAACTGGGCTTGTTTAGCTTGGAGAAAAGATGAGTCTGGAGAGACAATGTAGCCTTCCAGTACTTGATGGGAACAGGTAAGCAGGAAGGTGACTGACTTGTTAGACAGTCAGGCAGTCACAGGACAAGGGGAAACGGCTTTAAGCTACAAGAGGGAGATGTAGGTTAGATGTTAGGAAGAAATTCTGTACCGGGGCAGTGAGGCACTGGCACGGCTGCCCAGAGCTGTGGGTACCCCATCCCTGCAGGTGCTCAAGGACATGAATGGGGCCCTGGGCAGCTTGAGCTGGTGGGGGGCAACCAGTCCATGGCAGGAGGTTGGAACTGGATGAGATTCCTTCGAACCTAAGTCATTCGATGATCTTCAAATTAAATAAAGGCTTCTTACATTCGAATGGACTTTAAAATCTGTGTAACAGTGGGTCTGAGAGGTGTATCCAGGAACTTGCTTAGGTCACTCCAGGTTTATCAGGTGGGTCCCTACATCAAACTTCCAGTATTAGTGACATGATACAGTACAGCTCGCAAGCCAGTCTTTAAGTTCCTGCTTTCGCAGCATGGACAAGCGAGCAAATTCTGTGCTAGTCATTAGCTGTATTTTCACAATTGCAAAATACAGATTATGATAATTTATTGCCATGAACTAGGTCTCGTGGCAATGTTAATTTAATTTGAAAGCGCTGTCTATTCCTAATTTTATGAGTAAAGCGTTTAAAACTTTTGTTTCTGACAGATCAATTTAAGTACATTTTCATTTAGCTTTACAAATGACACCGCCAGGAAAACGAAACATACGAAGCCATGTGATGTACTCACCTTTGTATCTTTGATAACAGTAGAAGTCCATCCATCAGTCACGTACTGGGAATGGGACACATCTCCCCGCGGGCAATCGAAGCAGCGGTGCACATCATAGCCATAGTTCATCAGCATTCTTAACATGACTTCATCTTTCAGAGCATACTGCAGAGCCGACGGGAAATGCGTTGTGTTCACTCTGCAGAAGTAGTTAACATTGGCCCCGTGCCGGAGCAGTAAATTCATTAACTCATAGTTGCCCATTCTCAAGGCTATTTGGAGGCAGTTGATGGGATCCTGGTTTGGCAGGGCTCCAGCATTCAACAGCAGCTGTGCTGAACTGATATCCCCATTGGAAACAGCAAAGTACAGGGCTGATTTCCGGCGGTCGTCGTAGCCTTTGCGAATTCTTTGATCCAGCATAAAATTGGCATCAAACCCAGACTTGAGGAGAAACTCGAGGCACTGAGGATGTGCTCCCGCTGCTGCTGAGTGAATTGGACTTATTCCGCTTTCTTTAATGGCATCAAAATTAGTAACTGGAACTAAATTCTTCAAGGCACTGAAGGAGAAAAATAAAGACAATAAGGGAATCTGGTCACACAGCTCAATCTTCATGTTGCTGGGCTTTACAGTTCATTCTGACTATATTCCATAGTCTTAATCTGCCAAATCAGTACCACTGCATGCTGTACCTCTGCATTAATTGCTAAGGATAAAGCAGCCAGCAATGGATACTATGATTTTACATTACTAGTCATAAATTTTAATACTGCTCTTCACGAACACTGCATTCTATGCTAGCAGAATAATCATTCCTTCTCAATGAGAGCTCTCTGGGGACGTCAAGAGCGCTGTGCTGTTGCACAGCCCCTAGGAATTAGGGAATTAACACAACAGTATTAATTCCTACAACACACAACTAACATAACACAGCATTCTACTGACATTCAAACAATACATTCAAATTAACACAACATTTAAATGCAATTTAAATATATGTATTAATAGGGGAATATAACATTCTTAGATTTTTAAGCACAACAGAACAACCCTGGATTTGAAGAGCTGTTTCTTACTTATTGGTTACAAATTTAACATCAGTAAAATTAATATCTTTGGTCTCACTATTACTTGGTTTACATTAACTCACAGAAAGTGTCCTCTATACGCAGCTCTGTGGATTGGTAAATGACCCGAGTGCTTTGGCACATTAGCATCAGCCCCATATTCTAGCAAAAGATTCAGAGAGTCTGGATTTCCTCCTCCTGCTGCTTCAAATAATACAGAAGAATAATCCATTGCCTGTGAAAGAACATCAGCACCTGGAAAGAAGCATTGAGGATTTTCACAGTGGTCACCGTAAATATCCAGCAAAAATCACTGTCCCCCTCCAGAGACGAGATACTGTCCCAGGCTCAGCTCTAGTAGGCTGTTGAGGATTTCCAAGCACAGAGACTCCACTACTTCTCTGGGCAACCTACTCCAATGTTCAACACCCTTCACAGAAAAAAAAAAGTGTTTTGCTGTGTTCAGATAGAATTTCCTAGGTTTCAACTTGTGTCCATTGCCACTTGCAAGGAGAAGAATCTGGGTCTGCCTTCCTAACACCCTCCCATCAGATACTGCTAACGTTGGCAGATCCCCCTGCCCTAAGCCTCCTCTTCCTACATAATAACGTCTCACCTTTTTGCAATAAGAGCTCCATAATTTCTGTATGTCCAGCTTGTGCAGCCAGCGCTAGAGGTGTGAGCCCATATCCACTGCGAGGATCAGGATCTGCCCCAGAACGAAGCAGAAGCATCACCAGATCCTTTCTGCCAAGCCTGGCAGCCTCGTGTAAAGCAGTCCTCTTGTGGATACATGGCAAATTCACCTTTGCTCCAAAATTTATCAACAAGGAGGCAACCTCATATGAATTGTGCTTAATTGCTGTAAGAAAATAATGAAAGCATTAGCCAGAATGTCAGACTGTTGCCTAGTTTCTGCTGGGTGGCAGCCCCGGGAAGCTCAAGCTGTTCCCAGCACTGCTATTTATACACCAAGAAACATCGTGCTGAAAGGTTTAACTTCTCACCAAGTCTGTTCCTTCTCTACAGGGTATCATAAATTAGGAATAATTTTATGATAATCTCCTTTTCTGCTGGTTCCTGTTGCAGCCTTCCCTGCCACTAGATGGAGATCACATACTGGGGCACTTACTGCAGTCAGGAGCTGGCCTGCTCCGTTAATCATCACAGGCAATTACCATAAGCATGAAACAAAGACTAAAGTGACTGTGCCACATACAAAATGACTGTGTCCTTATCTTAGCAAGCCTGATCTGTCAAGACAGTGAGGGAAAGGACAATACTTCAATTAACAAATAATGCTCAGAACTTTGTAGTGACAGTCCCTAATGTGGAATGTCAGCTCAACTGAAGCCCTGATATCTTTTAAGACAGACAGACAATACATTCAATGCTGAAATTAACATTTTGTGCTCCTCATAACAAAAAATTTTAAACTCTGCACAAGTCAAATACGTAAAATTGCAACCTACTGCATGTAACTACAAACTCACCTCATTCTCTCACCTCCCTACCCCCAAATAAGACACTCACCTACAACTAAAGGAGAATCTCCATCTTCATTCTTAATATTGGGATTGCAACCATTGAGCAGTAGAAAGTGGACGTTTTCCAAAAAGCAGTTTCTGACTGCCACCATGAGAGGTGTTTCCCCTCTCAGTGTGGTCTGTTCCCATGTAACAGAACGGGAGGCTGGAATTCAGAAAAGCAGTACACATCTGAAGCTGAAGTTATTCATCAAATCTAGCTTTGTAAAACATTCTGGTGGAAAACCAGAAAGCACCCCATACCTTTTAAAGTTATTTCAAGGATGTTCTTATTTAGCTGAGCTGCAGCCTCATGCATAGGAAGCCAGCCTTGCTGATCTGCTTCCTCAAAAGCAGAACTGTGGCTCACCAACTTCTTCAAGGCCTCTTCTTGGCCTGTGATATTTTGGAACAGATGTGTATCTCATTACTCATCATAAAATTAAAACAAATAACATATTGAGTGATACTTATCCCAGCAGCATATCAAGAATAAAAAAAACCCCATACCTTATCAAAGCAATTTTTTTATCAAAGGGTGGTTTACGTGAATGGAATAATCAGTGATTCACACTGACTCAAAGCATTTTGAAGGATACACTTGCTTATAATTAATACAGCTAAAATACTTAAATTACATTCCTCTCATGTATAACAGTGCAGAGGATTTTAGTGTATTAAGCAAACAGGTGTCCTAGTGAAATTGTATGGAAAATATTCAGGTTGGCAAAAGTAAAATTAAGCTGACAACTGAGATGAAACTCATTCCTCCTTCTACTAAAACCCTTACTGGAATTCTAATTAACAGAAGTGATTATGTTTTCAATTTGATATCTTGTGGAGAAGCAATGAAACTTCAGCTGACGAGAATGCCTGTAAGTAGAGGTCCTGACTGTTTGTTTTATCCCACCATTCCTGGAAGAAGGCAGTCTGCTCTCCTATTAGCTACAACTATAAGGTACTGTGATAGACTGCTTTCAAAGAATTGTATATTCATTAGACTAGACACAAAGTTTAACTAGAGTCTCAGCACATTCTGCATTGTGTCGTACAGTTATTGCATCTGCTTTTCCAAAGGAGCCTTCAGGTCGTGATTCTTACTCCAGTAAATATTTCTGTAACTACTTGCTATGTGTATATGGACTGGACAGAAGGCTTCCCACTGTCACACCACTGTCCTAACAACTGTCTAACAGCTGTCCTTCTTACACTCCTTTTTTAGCTATCTCTGTGACTCAATATGTAAAGTGATTCTATCAAAAAAAGCAAGTTTCAAGAGAACAGACAAACAGCCTCCCACATAAGAATAATTCTGGCACACTTCAGGTAGAGAAGGGATTTCAATCTGGTTATCTCACAAAGTGGCAAACATTGGTTAATGAGGCATTAACTAATAGGGACGTTGCTATCCTGTTAGTTAATTTTATAAGAAAGGACTGGCATTCATCCTTGATTCTAGGAGACCAAGTACCTCAATCTCAGAGAGGAATGATATCTGAACCCACTCCATTACTGTGTTCCTATTTAATAAAAGCTAGCTGTTGTGTGCCCTGTTTTCAGTTGCCTAACTCTCTCCAAAACTACATAAAGAAAAACTGCACTTAAAATAGCTGATCAAACACAGAATGTGGGCATTGTGATTCCTAGACAGAGGGTTGTGGTGTGGTGTATTTGTACTTAACTGTCCGGATTGCAGCAATTATCTCTTCACGTTCTTTGCTTGCAACACACAGGAAACTGCATAAACACAACATTACAGTGCTATAATTAATGAGACATTCAGTTCATAATTACACATTAGTTTAAGCCATTCAAGTCTAAACAACATTAGAGTTCTTTAACTTGTGTGAGTTTTGTCAGTGTAACACATTAAAATGCATTTTTGTAGGTCTTCTTGTGCCACTATAAATTTTGGCTTTCCAGCAAAGGACAACAGTTAAATACTAAAACGAGGAAAAGCTGCCACACCAACCTGTTGGTTTTTTTAATATTTGCTTTTCTTCAACAAACCCTTGCATTCATTAAGATATTAGGCTTTTAGTTATTAGAAAAGCTGTCACCAGAAAGCTTCATATATTCCAAATTTTAGACAAGATAGGCATGCTTTTCTAGGGAGAACTCCGAACAGACAAGCTACAAGTGGCCTGTGGTATCCACAAGACAGGGTCAGACATGTAATAATGCCAAGAAACCACCAAAAATAGAAGTAGTAACTCATTACCTTTCATCCTCTATTGCATTGGCACTTCTTTCCATTTTATGAATATCTTGTAAGCTTTCCTGAATAGCTTGCTGGGTGGGGATTTCATCATCAGAATGATCATCAAATATGTAAACAGAATTATGCATAGCCAATCGGCACAACCTGGATCACCTCTTTGTAGGAAAACACTGCTATTTAAGTGGATGCAGATGTTAAATCTTCAGGTTATGTCTGGAGTAATAGAAACAGCAATCACTGTTTAAGTATCAAGAGAAACAAAGCACAGCCTAAATTAACTTAATCAGAACTTCTCCAACTCAAGCTCCAGCATTCTGCCAAGCATTCAGTTTGGACCAGTCCAGAGAGAACTGTCTTGTTTAGAACATAATAAAGGTTTCTAGTCCAACAGCACACGCTAGCTTTTATCTCTATTCTACAGAAAGAACATACAGAACAGCTACTTTTTCTGGTATTACGTACTGGAAAGCAGCAAAAATAAGTTAAACATAATTTTGAGGTAGTTTAAGTAGCCCTTCCCTCTTAAATCTATACTCTCAAACATCACAGTCCTGCTCTGATTGTTCCTTAGCAGGAAAACAGATCTGAAACAAAATTTGGGATGTTTCTTTTGTTTGTTCACAGGGGCCAGGTGGTGAACAGTAGGTGAAGGACGCAAACATTTCTGGTAATACATTTCCTCAACCTGTTGCCACAAAGTTATCACTAGAGCCATATCCTGCAGTAAAAAACAACACTGTAGGTTAGTGCTAACAGTCTGTTCTAACATTATGTGCTACATTTATCTTCTGATTGAAACAGCATCAAATTGTTTGATTGAAAAAAGACCAGACATATATATCATCTCATATACATCATGTACAGCCATGGGGAACAGATATACCACAACTGTTCATTCCTTGTTAACACATACCTGCACATCTACTCATAGATGTAAACATTCTATAGATTATCTGACACACTATTCTTTAGCATATTCAACTACTTGGCATTAGAGGTTAAAATCAAAGGAGTTCTATTAGACTCAAGCCTTTCACCTCATCGAAACTTCCACTTCTGTTTTTCAAGAGAGCTGGCCTGAAAACAAATAAACAAGTAGTAACAAACAAACAAAGCCAAAAACACAGAACGGGATAATAAAATAAAATAAAATAAAATATAATAAAAAGTGAGGATAAATAAGTGATCAAAATGAACAAGCACAGCAAAATAAAGGAAGTTGTCAACACAGCTCTTAGAAACTTTGCAATACTTATAGAAACATCTTAAAGTCAAGCAGCAGCAATTCACAGCAAGCTTGCACCATTTACCTGATCCAGCAACATGTGACTGCGAGGTCTTGCTCTGTAATTGCACATGCATCAAGAAAGAGCAACGCATTAAGAATAAACACACACAAGGAATGGCTAGAATTTGACTATATGTACAACACAATATGTGTACATACACTTGTTTCTTTTCAGTACTAATTCTCCTAATAATCAAGAAAATGCAGTTTTTTCCTCACCTTCTGAAAGAGAGAAAGCTTCACACTTTGAAGAAGTGATTAAGTTGAAAGCGGTATTTTCAGGACTGAAAATGATCTCTGTAGAGTCTGTGTCCACGAATAGCTCTCTATAAATAACTGATCATAAGATACTCTGGGACTTTCTCCATGTTACTTTCGTACAGGTTAGTCACATTTGATAATCTAATCTGACAAATGGTGTCAGCAAGAGAAGAAATTAGAAATCCACTTTATTGACAAAAATACTCTTGTTTACAATTCATGGAATGAGAATTTGAGAGCTACAGAGAGTAACTGTTCAGTTATAGAAAGGAAATTGTTAGTGATTTCCTAAGAGGGAAACTACAGACACTGTCAGCAGCTTCTTTAAGAAAAATATAGGGCAGTATATAAAGAAAACTATATAAAAATGAAAGTAAGTATAAATAAGCAAAAATCAAGAGAGTACCCTATGAAAATTACTATGAGCTTCTGGTTGCCAAATCACAATTTAAATTCTATTATAAACAGAAAAGCAAACAAAAGATAATACAGTCTTTAAAGGAAAAAGCAAAGTTTCAGAAATGAACACCCCAAACTGCTTATAACTGTAATACACAGTAAGCCAAGCAATGGTGGATGAAGCTGCTTAGATATAATGGGAAAGATGGGTTTTCTGTGCTTAATTCACTCCTAGAACTAGTTCTGTAGTAGAGGAGATCTAAGGAAACATGTTTGAGTAATTATTATTATTACTATTTTTTTTAAGAAAACTAAATTGCAAAATCCTTGAAAGATCTGAAATTGGAGTGCCTCACGGGAGCAACAAAAAAAGAAGAAATAACATTTCAGGCAAGTGGTAATAAGGGAGATTTTGATCATTTCTCTGTAATGGAAACAATTTAGAAAAGAAAAAAAAAAAAACAGTAAATCAAAAAATCTGAACTATATCTTGAAAAGATGGATTTGTTGAGCAAGGAAGGGACTTGGAAGTGCTTATTACAGACAGTTCAACAATTTACTGTATTGCAATTTTCACTGTTGTGACAGAGCACAGGCTGTGCGAAACACAGCACAAAAATCCCCACACTTCCTGTGTGCCGGGTTTCCGCTCACAGGACTCAGTGCTCTTCATGCATTCCAACCAGTGAACTTTTGTGGTATCTCAAAGAAAGCGCAGACCATTTTTTGTTTCTCATCAAGATATATTTTGTAGTATTTGTGCAATGCATAAAATTGTTGTTTACACATTAAGACTGTTACCAGAGGCTAAAATCCTACCTGCATCTTTTGCAGTTTGCAAGGGTGCTAATAATAACACACACTTATTTAAGGCAAAATACTGGGGATCAGAAACACAGCCCCTTTTAAGATTACAAAAAAAAAAAAAAAAAAAAAAAAGCAAACAAAGCCCACAACTACAGAAGTTGCCTGCAAAAAGCATGCTGCACTTCTGTGAGCAAATAAAAAGGAAAGCATCCTGTGACATTTGTATCTTATCTGAACCACGCGGGATCAGTCATCCAGCTGGCAGAGCAACGCAACACCTCGCTTGATCCAGTGCTGGACTGGCTGATCCGTATTGAGTGTCAAAGCAATGACAAAGTTAGTGGAATGCCCAGTGGTAGACAGGACTCCTTTACGCTCGCTCGTCTTGTACAGCGGGCAAACATACGCGTTACGTTTCTTGACATCCGATTTTGCAGCTTCAAAGAAGAAAAAAACAGCAATATGTTGTGTAAAGCAGACACACTGATGGGGACATAACCGACATATAATTGTTAAGTACTTACAGCAATATTCCTAATGCTAAATAAAGATTGAGAAATTGTTTTGTGTGCCCCATAATATTTAGCTTTTTCTGTTGCTTTCTTTTGTGATTTCTTCATTTTTAAGAACAAACGAAAAGTAATTTAATTACAATTTGATTTCAAGAATCGATGTTTTTCTGTGATTCTACCAACTTTGTAATTATTCAAAACCACATACAGATCAGAAGGTCTGCACGAATAAAGCATTCTGCTTTCATCTTGGGATTACAGCTGAGACACAATATCTTGAAATTAATATTTCAGTAAGAATTCTGGTCCTGCAGCCACAGAACATAACTGCAATACAAATCCCTGGAGATTCAATGATTCTTGTATACCTAGACTGCTTACATGCAGCTTGCAAAAAAATCTGGTTTAAAATCATGCACTTCTGAGAACAGATTCATTCAATGGAATGTACAGGCAGAAAAGGTGGAGGCTTTGTATAACTGCCAATTACCTACTCACAGCTAAGTTGCAACAGCTGCAACATAAAGTCTTACTTAAGCGTCTCCTCAACTTGGGAAGAGGCAGAAATTCAAAGACCATTTAGTTTTCCTACCAAGGTTGTATCTGTTGAGAACCAGACTGGGCAGCAACTACACATATTTATAATAGTTAACCTAAGTAGGCAGTTGGTCAATTGCATAACTACAAACACCTGTGAAGAGATGGACAGTCCGACTGCTTGAGTGAGATGAGACTGAATGAGTCAACACAGTAAACACAATTTTTCATATTAGAGCCAAGGGTCAGGTGCACATGAATTCTGTGTACATCTGGGTACTTTGGTGAGGATGGGAGCATTGGTCTTCAGTACTTACTTGGCTTTATCCAGATGATTGGCATCATATCAAAGAGTAATTTGGGATACTGCTCAGCTAATATTCCCCTGGTGACAGAAAGCAACCAAATAGTTATTTGTGGCTGAATGTTGCTTTTCTGCGTGCTTTTCATATTCCACACATAAACCGCCTTCCATCCAACAGTGAACTTTAAATTGTGTTTCCAGCTCATGAGTAACCACAGTCACAGGAGTACAATTGTTCTGAGGGAAGTCCAGCTTTCTGTAAAACTACTGCAATCAAATAAGTCATCAAGAATGGCGCTTATTCAGCAGGTGGAGCACTCATTTGGGGAAGAAAAGAAGAATAGGAAAGGACCAAAGATGACCCAGGACAGCCACCAAACAATCCAAAACAAACAAACAAAAAAACCAAATTGAGTCTGTGTGTGAAATACACCTGCAGCTGAGGCTGCCAGACAACTGTATGAAATACTTGGATCTGACTGCAGATCAGCACATCACAACATTTCCAGCAGAACAGTAATTTAAAAAGTCACTTTTATTTTCTTATCTTGAGGCCAAAAGAAGAATGAAAATATTTTCAAGTGTGCTACTAACACACTATGTAAAGTAACACTTAAAAAACTTAAATTTTATCTGAGCAGCTAAGAAAGCTTAGTAAAACTGTACTTAATATATTTTGTTACTGACTTGGTCCTGTCCCAGCGAGCTCCATCTAAAAATAATCCATGGATATAAACACCATCTTCTGGTGCAGTATCAGCAGTATCCTGAGGAATAACCTATAAAAAAATAAGTGCTATGTATGAAGAAGCTTCCACAGCTATTTGTTTTTGTGGGTATTAAACTAATAGCCAGTTTTCAAAAAATCAATCTATAATGAAAACAACGTAGTAAAACCTTCCTTTGGGCACTGCTTTTACAGGAAACCATAAAGACAGCAGCTTTCTGTGGTTTGTTACCTTTACTGCAGGTTACAAAGGCTTTAATCACACACATAAATGTTTACCTTGTAGGCTGTTTTTGTTTCAAGTGGAGGTCCAGGTCCAACAGATAGAACCAGTTTCTCTCTCTCTTTTACAGATACTATTTACCTTACCAAATAATTAAATGTGTCTTCCAGTGCATGACATGCAAAATGAACCTCCTAGTAAGGGTTCAGTGACTGATTCCTATGGCATTACCAGGTCCCAGAATAATAAAATATATAATTATAATTTATCTGTACCTGAAATTCATATCCCAGAAGGTCAATGGGGATTCTGTACTTCCTAGCATAGTTTTGCATGGCTCCAGTTAAAAATGCTTGAGTAAAATAGAATCCTGACAGCCAAAAAACTGTGGGCTTCCCTAATTCATACCAATCCTAAAAAGAGGAAAACGATGCATTCAATAAACAAAAACAGACAAATCAAATGTTCTTGGATAACTTTCTACATAAGTGTACTCTAAAAATCTAGCAATATCTATTATTTCTTTGTCAATACTGCTTTAAAATAAAGGCAAATTATTTGGAAATGTAGATTAAATAAGTAGTAATTCTGCTTCTTGTACAATTACCTGTAAAAATTTCAGCCTCTGCAGGAAATCAAGAATATAGCTCCCTAATGGTTTTAGACTAGGGTAGGACTGTTTAGCCCAATTCTCAGGAACTTTTCCAATAAGCAGACTGCCACACAGAGCCTCCAGTTCAGCATCCATAACAACCAAACCTTTAATGGCTTTCTTCAAGTTAGTTAGTGTAATACGAATAGTTCGGAGCAAACTAGAATAGAAGAACAGAATTATCATTAAGAAATTCATGATTTGCAAGATACCACATAATCACTGAAAGAGTAGAAATTAAAAAACATGGACAATGGAAGACAATGGAACATCTACAGAACTTCTGTAACTGTTATGTACCTGTAGTTAGCCACACATTTAAAGTTACGGAGTTCTGCTGGTTTGTGGCTTTTTGTTTGGTTGGTTTTTTACAAGTAGGAACAGTTTAATACAATTTTAATTTTAATCTGACAAACTCTCTATTGTGTGGTAAGAACTGCAAATGTACAACACACTGTTTACTACACGAAGGAAAAACTCTTGATCTGAAACAAAAGAAAACTTTGAGCATTAAGGCACAGATTATTATTACAATTTTGAGAGAAAATTTGGTGGGAGAGATGAACAGAAGAATAGAGACAACAGAGGAGAAAGAAAAATAAGGAAGAAAGAAAGGAGGAACAGGTAAAGGTAAGAATAAATACATGGAAACAAGGGGAAGGAGACTCGCAGCCACCTCCTCTTCTTATTCCATCGTGCATTTCTCCCTAAAGGTACTCTACATTCCGAATTTCCACAGAGGTGAATTGTGCTTGGAATACAGATACCACTGCAGACAAGTAGAAGGGAACAAAATAAATGAAAAAAATAAAAGAAAGATTATGCTCTTACTTGTTAAATCTTTCCATTTCTTGCACCAACACAGTGTTCATACTTTCTTCATATTT